CCGACTGTAGGTTGCTGGTCGGATTAAACGTCATTTGTCCAGACAGGTTTCAAACAAGCCAGCGGTCTCCCACTGTCTGGCTGTGGCCACGTTCACGCTTGCGCCGCAGCAACCCGCACCACGGTGAGGAACTGGCTCCATCAGCTGCCCTACATCGCACAGTAACCTGTGTTGTGGATTGCAAACCTGAGTCAGCCAGATTTCCGCGAGATCTATTGTAGGCCCAACCTATTTCTCAAAACCGTGTCGCGGCGTTCATCCGTTGTCCGTTGCCCAATAGAATCAAACCAATTGACATATGCTCTTTGATTATAGAACATTGTTACATCTGGAACTACGGTTAACCGCAGATGGGTTATAGTGGAGTTGTCACCTATTATAACCCGGGGTCACCTGTCGTGAGGCGATAGAAAACTATTGGGCGAGAATGGCGCCTTCTCCATCCATGACGCTCGTGCTCTGCACTAATCAAGCTGTTTGTAATTTGTAAACTGCTGTTGAACTCTCCTGACTTTCGATGACGATGCAGAAATGTATGGTATGAACAGCTCTGAATGCGAATGGAAAGTGCCACCAAGTGTAAGGCAATGGACCGCTCAGATATGCAAGCGATTGTTCCACATTAAGGCCAAATTTCGTCACGATGGGTATAGCAAAAAGCTTATTGTCGAATTCAATCTGTCAAGAGCTACTAGTAACGGTTGTATCAAAGAGAACTATGCCGTTCGCGTGTTCTAATTTTGTCAGTCGTCATCCTTGAATTATGTTTGCTTTCAAATAAGCAGATAGAGCAGACCATCATGATTTGCTCAATTATAAAATGGTAGGCGAAAGAAGAGTAATGTGTTCACGGAGTACCTATCTAGCCGTGGTGAACCCAGCCTTATGTAGACCCGAACATAGGGATAGAAGTAGCGGGAGAGAGCACAGAGCAGCACTCATTTTAAAGACGACCATGATCAATCGAATCGAATGTTAACCCCAATTCAAGAGACATCAATGGTAGACCGTCTGTATACAGAATGCAATGACAGCAGCTGTTGAAGTTCGGCTGTGAGCCAAGTCCCATAACAAGGATGTGGTCGATTTCGTGCGTTCCATCCAGGGAAGAGACGCGTACCAGTAAAATGACGTCTTTCGATTACTTCAAACCACATCGTTAATTGATCAACCTGTGAGATCAAACCAGATATGGTAAGAAGAAAAACGGACGTCGTGGTAGGCGACCGACAGGCATGCGAAGAGTGTGGCCCAACTAACTTAGATAATCAAAACTCGCGCGGATTGAATGCAGTGCTGGATGGTTTTGTAACAAAAGCCAACCGGCGGGCCTTGACATTACTCACTTGGTGTTCCCGCTAGAAAAAATTTAGACATCGAAGGATCGGTGGTGAAGGGTAAACGTCTTAGAATGTCTTCAACCTGCGCGTACAGTCACGCTGCTCGCACGGCAAGGTTGCACACGTTGCAATCAATAATGTCGGTAATACCCCAGAGCATCGTGCTGACGGTTGGCTGCCGTGCAACCACTAGCGACTGCGTGCTGCCTCCATTAGACAAGGTGTCCTTTACTTATACAGGCTCGGACAGATGAGCCGTGGATCACATGCCAAATACCTTAGCAACTACGCCACTGACTCTTAGCTAACGCGCAAATATCGCGTGACTCCACAGCTGAGTGAAGCTTTGAAAATTCACATGGGCCTATCGATTTAGAAAGTAGCCAACAAACCACTAGATGTGTACGCTTGCCCAGTGAAACAGTCGATAAATTCGTGGTTGCTGGGTTGTGCGAACACACACACACACATCAGTCTACAGTGCTCTACGTCAGCCTATTCTGAGTCGATTGCAAAGCAACTGGATTTGATCCCAATAGTCCAGTATGTTGTGCGTTGACCTCAAAGGTATGTAGTAGATCATCCTCACAAAAGCAAGGTTAAAGCACCTGCTATAAGAGAGGCATTAGCAGTACGCCGGCACACCGTACCGACGCTTCGTTGCCACGCGACCGACAACAGTCGCGCGTGGGTTGAGTATACCACGACGTCGCCCATCCCTACGCGGACTCGAACCCGCGCCGCAATATCACGAGACAAACTCGTTACTTCTAGGCTACGGGCCGACAGTTGTAACACTATTCAGCTTTTTGCGGTGCCATTAGCCTATGTCATCTAATGAACAGCAGCTACACAACGACAATTTCGATGCATATCGTGGCTCAAGGTGAGACGCCGCTTCTGTATTAAGAAGACTATGAAACTGATTACTTGGTATGTTCACCTTTGATATTTCAAGTGAGCATACTGATGGCACATAAGTCTGAAAACCAGTTGGACAGGCTGAACCAGGTAGAAGAGCGGTTTAAAATGTGCTCAACATGGAACAGTGGAAGCGATCCCGATTGGCTTTCGACTCACATAGCTCGTTTGTTAATGGATAGCTGAATATTTAAGTCGGCGTGAAGTGGTGGGATTGTGAGTTCAGGTTACAGGCAAGCAATCCATCAAGTGGGCACGCCGCTGTGACTTGAAAAGTGATTTTTGCGCGAATGAGCGCTAAAGCATGAGCATAGTCTAGACCGGTTGTTCTCAACTTTTTGTGGATGTTACCCGGAAAGCAGGTTCGCTACAAACAATTGCCCCACAAAAGACTTAGTTTATATGTTAATTATACCTATTAAATATTGCGATTTTTACTTTAAATTACGGAAAATGAATACGATTTTAATTATTCTTTCTTTCAAATAAAGAAAATACTTAGAGCAATTTTATATTAAATCAAGAAGTGATGTACTGTAATGTGATGGTTGATACTGTTTAGTTTCAAAAATTTCTGATGTATTTAGTCCGGTTTCGACTAATGCATATCTTAAATCGTGCTCCAAGTTCATTCGGTTCCTTGTTTTGATGTGTGATCCCTGGTCAAACATGAACAGATGTCAGTGGTTTCTCATTTGTTTCAACCATCCCCTCCAATCCCCTTCTGGATGGCGGCTCCCCATCACCACTCTGTACCAATGCGTCCTGAACACTAATCGCCTGTTTTGTCCCTTCCACCCTGTAAACATTCGGTCGCTCTTTAACCTGGTCGGCTAACCTATTCCCCCATCTTAGTGTTCACTCAACTCTGTAATACGGCCCGACGAATGCCTGACTCAAAAGAACAGCGATCGACGAGCGAGCCGGTAGAGGCGTCATCTAGCTGGGCTGCTTTGCAGGCTTGTATCCGTATAACAAGCAATAAAATTTATTACTGAAAATTGTCTAATTCACTGACCACTCGCTAGTGAGTGGTGCAGCCTGTTGACCTATTTATCTTGAGGTTCGAAGGTTAAACGCAGCCAGGGAGAAGGGACAGCGTGGCCTTACAAGGGGCTATTGCCGATAGGCGTCAAGTGGGTGGTGCGTGAAAACAACTGCAGATGGTAGAACTCCAGTGGTATCGCGGTTGCTGTCAGATAAGCTGGGAATCGTTTAGGGGAAGGCAAACGATAGGGGAGTCGGGATGAAAGTAACAGGAACAGCTGAAAAAGAAAGGGTGCATCAGCAGTAGCACTTTGTCGTTTATTCGCACTGTTGTATGCAGCAAATAAGGCGGCGCTTTGGAACTGGTACGGCGCCTGAGGCAGGATGTGGTGGAAGTTTGATGAAATAGCCATGGAGAATGATTACGCCTCGTAACTTTTGCTTGAAAGCCTGTCCGTAAGATTGCGTGGTGGCAAGGATCCGGTTTTATAGAAATACACGCAATCACATATCCAACGCCCAGCCTAGAGGACAAAGGAATTAAGCTTGTCTAACCTCTAATCACTGAACAGCCTGGTAGAGCTAGTTCTCAATGGGTCGGGCATACCACCAAAGGTCGAAGAGGTACGCAAACCATCGCATCAAATGTAAGGTCTAGTCTCGTTACGACGGTGATAGCGAGAATCCATGAGGCGGCAGTCTAGCGGAGTGTAGAACACTACCGAAGCCCCAACACTTTCGAGGCGCTAGTCTAGGGAGGGTCCTGATGGATAAGATAACAGATTGGAAAATGTGTAGCTAGTTCATTGTCAACCACGTGGTCTCGACCGCCGGGCTGAATAATCTGAATGGCAAATCAGTCGGGTGGGTGTGTGAAAAATATTGGTCGGATCACCGAAATCGACTCGGGGCGCTGAAACGACTCGCATGATGGAGGAGATCCGACGCGAGCTAGTGCTGCTAAAATAAAATAAGGCGCCTAGTTCCGACGACTCCACCTTTGTAGGCAAAAGATGGTGGTAACGTGACTCGTCACTTTGTTTCACCTTATTGGCGCAGGAACGTATCCTGCAACCGCAGCCTTTCAACACATATCTCCACCTTTACAAATAAATAACTAGGTTATTTTCGAATGCATCGGGGCACACTAAATCAGGCATGATCAAAAAGTGGATCGAACCTTTTGCGAACGTCAGCATGATGTTACATTCGGAACCGTCGTTTCCAAATAGCTCACTAATCAGTGGGCCTAGTCAGAGTCGAATCAAAATCGGTTTGCCATCTGCTCCGGTAAAAGATAAACCAGCTATATTTATACGGTTCATCAGGAACCCAAACACCAAAGAAGCATGGTCAGTAGCCTATCATTCTTGATTGAAAGTCTCTTAAGTCACTTGATCTTATCGATAGCGATGATGCAGGGCCGGGCAGCTATGTTACCGCTGTGATTAACACGCAACATCTGTCCACTTAGGACACAGACCCCGTAACTGAGTTTTACTCCGAAGTAAATCGCGGAGTTATGTCGCAATCCGTACATGTAACAAGCACTTCAGAACCCAATAGTAATTAATTCTTCACTATCATCCATTATGTGATTTAAGAACTGTGTAGTAGATACCTAAGATGAAATGGACGATGAGTCGTAGTGGACAGTGGGTACGTGCATCCAACTTGGTGAAGAGCATATTAAACGGTTATGTACACATGTAATCAGTTATATAACAAAACGCAACAATAACCAGAACTTACCCTCATAGGGGACCAGACCTTGGGTATTTTCCATCCCGGCCAGAAGTTGATCGACCTCATCCTCCCGTAACCGCTCCCCAAGGGAAGTTAACAGGTGCCGTAGTTCCGCAGCTCCAATATAACCGTTAGACTCTTTATCGAAGACACGAAATCCTTCGATGAACTCATTGGGGTTTATATCCTTTTGCTCTTTCAGCAAACCCTGGTAGATTGGTACAAACATTTCGAAAGTGACCCTATCGTCTGAAACGAAAGAAATACTATGAGATTACTAGATTGTATAACTACATTGAAATACCACCTAATCGCAATCTAGCGCTGTACACTAGTCGACGTCATCAACAAGTTAAGCAATAAACCTAAGCATTATGGCAAAACTATTCGCGCCAATGGCTTCCACCCTTAAGTTAAGAAAACGCAGAATATTCCTGCAACTAAACAACAAAAACACAACAACAACAACAACAACAACAACAACAACAGTACATCAGCCATTTGAGCTGATGCTTTGTTGCCACACCATCATGATGACCTATGGAATAAAGAATAATAAGAGAGAAGGGGGACTTACCTGAAAACCTTAATGCCCTAAGCAAACATTCAGGGCCAAGGCGCCTACACCATGTGCAGACACAACATACCGTCACAAACAGCTGGCTATGGTGCAAAGATAAGGCGGCATCAGCAAGACAGCTTCGTTGCGACTTCCACTGTCCCGCGTCATAATCAGCCATTACCTCGCAGATAACTCAGCACAAAACACACTTTAAACAGGCAATCCGATTATAATACGGCAGCAGACGCGCCACTGATGTCGGCTGCGAGCCATGTCCTGTAAAGTCTCGAGCCAAGCACAAGCCGAGTCACGTGGACTCCAGCCCGGAAGACGAGACGGACCAAGGGGACACAGTTTGGTCGTCAGTGACTTGATTTCCCACTGACAAGTCAACTTCTGTTTATCTCGAGTCTTGCGCTACCCTACACCTAGCAGACTAAACAACGCCCTCCTAGGTAAGCGGTGACCAGGCATACGTAGCACGCGCCAGAGCCAACGCAACTTATTCTGTGTTATCTGCTGTTCTAGAGAGCTAGCATGATTATCACTACCTAGTAATAACCTGCGAACATCATTTTTGAAGACACACTGGTGCCATCCGACACCAGCAATGCTTCGCTGACAACGATGATCAGCCTTGAAAACGCCACAGATCCTCAGACCAAAGGTGCTAAGTTTCACTAACATAGAGCGGGACGGCCCTCACTGTGGCCTTGTATACACGGCCTTTCAGACGCAGAGAAACTCTCTTCGACTGCAGGTTCAAGAAGGCAGTTCCGGCTTTTTGCAATGCGTGAATTGACTTCAGTTTTTATGCGCCCATCATTGCTGATGCAGTAGCCAAGGTAATTGAATTGATCAATCACCTCGAGTTCCTCGTTAGGCAAGGGGTCTTAAAGTGGCTAGTGGTCCTGAAGCAACACTGCATTTTGAAGGTGCGATGCACATGCCAAATAATGGCACCAATATATAGCATTTCCCGCAAAGCTGTATAAAGACCTTAAGCGTGTTCCCATTGGCCGCATGCCAACGTTCGGTGCGTTAGTCTGGGGAGGTATGCCCACTGCCCGTTGACAGGGTGAGACTTGTGAGTGAACCTTAGAGGAATGCACTTCGGCGGTATAATGGGCTTGTATGCGCCCCCCTCACGTCCGAAACGGTGGAGCACAATTAGCGTGAGAGCAATGAACAGCCGGCAGATAAGCGCACGACCGAAACCATGTCTATGATTCTAACCTCGTCGGCATTCTTTCTCGCGTTCGACAGAGTATCTCATCAGACATTCATGACCGAGTTTTGGGCGCATTCATCAACGGCGATGACTGGCAGCTGGTGGACACTTTGTACAACGTCAAATATCAAACAGCATACTCCTGGATTCGCCGTTCTCTTGATCAGGAGCCGAGTAGTACACAGGCCCGCGGTCGTAAGCGGATTCTGTCGGAAGAAGACGTAGATGACATCCTGGATTGGATCGCAAGAGACTCAACTCTTACACTAGGGGAAATGCAAGTATGATTATGAGCAGAAATGGACAAAGACATTTCGAAGTCAACAATCGCAAGGGACCTGGATTGTCGATTGATAACTATGAAGAACATCTATCAGATTCCCGATGGAATGAACGAGAATCGAACCAAAGGGATAAGCAGGGAATTCGTTCAGCAGTTTCTCTAAATTGAGTGCGACGGTAAGGTTTTCATTTGGGTTGACGAAGCGAACTTCAACCTTTACTGTAAACGTACTCCTTGTCGGGCGCCCAGAGGAGTGAGGGCCTGCTGCAGAGTTGCCAACAGTATAGGCCTCAATTTGCATTTGATCGGTGCACTCACAATGGAAGGTAAAGCGTTGGTGGCCACCCGGAGAGGCTCATTCACAGGTCCCCTATTTCGCGAATGGCTGCAAAGCTATTTAGATAGGCTGAAGCGGGAGATGGAGCTCCAACAGGTTGCCGTAGTATGTGATAATGCACCATGTCACACACGACTGGAAGAACTGTCGTCAGTAGATGGATAGGAGGGAGTAACCATACTGAGATTGAGCCCATACTCTCCGTTCCTCAATCCGATCGAGAATGTTTGGCAGGTGGTGAAGGCCAGAGTGAAGAATGAGATGAGAGTGCACTACGAGGAACTTCTGGCCGGGGATCCCAGAAACTCATGACGCAGATGGAATGGAGGCTGCAGTTCCTTGAACGCATTGCCGGAGCAGCCACCAAGGATATCAGCGTTGTGGGATGTCGTAATGCTATTCGACATATGCGTGTACATTTTCCTAATTGTCTAGAAAAAATGACATGTTTTGATCACGTTGCTGGCCTATTTTTACGTATCTGGTTGTATAGCACGTCACTGGCAGCGCGTAGGGACGTGTGGGTATTCACAGTGTTTTCAAAATATGTATGCACATACGTAAGTTTGTGTGTTCGTACGGGGGTTGAAGCGATATCTGATGTCTAGCGGCTACCAGTGAGCCATGCCCGAGTGATATGTTCAACTTATGGTCATTTTTGTGTTGGTATTCGCCTCGCCGTACTCTTTCATGATCAGCCTGAGATAATGTAGATACGGTTTCTTTGTTCGGAAAAATAGGATGTTTGGAAAGCGCTTTGTAGGACCACGTGAGCTTGCCGGTTGAAGCAACCGTCAGATATATCACAGTATGGGATACCAACCTCGATAGTTGAATAATAGTGAATAGGAAATTATTGCGCACGTCATATTAGCCTTTTCCAAGAGTGAGAGGAACTGATAGGTGCGCAGTGCGAGTTCGCAAACGCGTCGATTGCCAAACAAGATGTGGTCATTGAAGCTGAACTAATGAATTTCGTGTCTAATGGAAACCGTCTCTGTGCAATGTTTGTCCGCCGTATTTGAGTGCGCTGGCGCATTAATTCGTTCCCCGATTGGAAGTTGGTCTTTCAAGTACGGAACCCACATCAGCCGGTTCAGAAGCTGTACTTTAGATGTAAATGCGACCATTACTACAGCAAGCGCAATTTAATTTGCGTGCTAGAAAGATCCCAATAGCTGTCCAGCACGACTTGGATACTGTATTGATCGTTCGGATGATCCCTCGCTTGACCCAATAGCGTGCGTATACAAATGGGGGTGTAGTTGGCGTGGATACAGTGGCGTAGCAACTACTTTTGCTGTCCGTGGCGGACGTACAATTGCCGCCGCTCTCTCAGTTGTATAGTCCACAATTGAAATTGTCATTCAATACTTCGTTTCACATAACAACAATCACATTCAATTTTAGAGTACTTCCGTGACTGCAGCTATTTGAACTGTTAAAAAGACTCATGTTCAAAATTTGCCGGCACACTTTTCGTGCACTACTTGAAGACGCTGGCATCCGAGCTGAATAAGCGCTCATCGGACGTAATTGAACATTGCTGAGAACGCCCGATGAGGGGCAGACAGTTATTTATTGGCAGAGCTATGTCTGGTTAACATAATAACTCGAACATAGGAACGCGAGTCCACTTTGCGCATGACATTCGCGGCACCTTTCCGGAGCGATGCGCCGTTGCAACCTTTCATTCACCGAGCATCTGTCTAGATTGCCTCGTGTACGTCGTCCGGTTGATTTTCCACCACACCTTCGTCTGCCGGCATCTCATGATTTACCTGTTTCCCTTGTGCGCCCTCGTTGATATCCATACTACTCATAAGTAGTGCACCACACTCCTCCCCTCCAAAGTGTTCGCGACAGACGACCTCGCACGTAGTCTCTCCGATCTTCGAGGCTGTTCCATGCATGTTGTCGTTTCCTCTGCTCGTTCATACCATTTCCGCAATTCACTAGCGTGGACTCGCCGCCTATCTCCCTGCCGGGCGATGGTGTATACGGGCCCTCTTCGGCCGATTACTTCATAAGGTCCTTTCCACTTCGGCAGGAGTTTCCTCTCTCCGGGGCCACATGCGGTCACACGTTGGTGGTCTCTGTATTTCACCTTCGAACCGATTGGGAAATCCATGGACGGTTTTCTCATGTTGACTCGGGAGCTTTCCATCCTCCGGTTCTGAGTTGCGTTCAGATTTCGGTTGGCTAACTTCCTGTCGTTCCGTGCTTCCCTTGGCGGTACCTGGCAAGTCGGCCAAACTCCTATCTCCAGATCTACCGGAAGTCGTGGTCTGCGGCCGTACACTAACTGGAATGGGGATCTCTTGGTGCTTGCTTGCTTGGACGCTCGGTGCGCTAGCAACAGTAGTGGTAAGGCTTCTTCCCAATCTCCCCTTTCGCCGCCAACCATTCTTTAATCGTTCTATTATTCCTCTCCGTTAATCCGTTTGTCTGAGGATGGTAGGGAGTGGTCCGTATCTTCTTGATGCCCAGTTTCTCCAAACATGTCCGAAATTCGTCACTTTCAAAGCATGGGCCCTGGTCTGTCAGTATGGCTTTCGGAATCCCGTGACTCGCTATCACGTGTTTCATCATGGCATGTGTTATCGTGCCAGCGCGTTGATCAGGAATCGCCGCCGCCTCAATCCATCAGGTAAAGTGCTCCGTCATCATGACTATGTACTGATTGCCTCGTCTGGTTAACGGGAACGGCCCCATCACGTCGATTGACCACAGCTCACCGATCTCGGACACTGGAATCGACAACATAGGTTGTGGTGCCCCTTGATTGTCTCCTTTCAGAAGCTGACACTGCTGACACGAGAGCACGTACGCATCG